AAACCCTAAACCCCTAAGCCCACAAGTTCTCCCAAAAGATCTCCCAAGTCGCGAGATTTGCACTGGCAAGAACACCACCGGCTTCGGCTTGCCCTGGTTCTTCAACCAGGTCGCAATTTCATACATGCCTGGGGTTAGGGTTTAGGGTTTAGTTCATAGGTGCCTGGGGTTGAGTGGTGTGTGGGGGTTTAGGAGCTTGGGGGTTAGGGGTCTTAGAGGTTTCGGAATTTGGGGTTTAGGGGTTAGGGGCCTTAGGGTTTAGTCACTTCTCAAAGGTCCTAGGGGAACTACAGCTTACCTCTTAAGGTGATATAGGGATTATGGTAAAACCCTATACAAACCCTAAACCCTAAACCCAGTCTACTTAGTGGGTAGCTTAAAGGAGGTGACATGCTTAAAGGAGGTGACGTGTCCCTGCTGTAGAGAAGTCGGCTTAAATCTTGAGACTTGACGCCTCAACTCCTAGACCCGAAACCCCTAAACCCTCAACCGCTAAACCCCAACCATCCAAACGGACCCTCGAACTCTAAACCCTAAACCCCTAAACCCCTAAACCTAAGCCCTAAGCCCCTCAACTCTTAAACTCTAAACCCTAAACCCCTAGACCCAAACCCTAAACCCCTCAACTCTTTAACCGTAAACCCTAAACCCCTCAACTCTATAACCCTAAACCCCTCAACTCTATAACCCTAAACCCTAAATCCCTCAACTCTATAACCTTAAACCCTAAACCCCAAAACCTAAACCCTAAACCCCTCAACTCTATAACCCTAAACCCTAAAGCCCTAAACCTAAACCCTAAAGCCCTCAACTCTATAACCCTAAACCCTAAACCCCTCAACTCTATCACCCTAACCCTAAACTCCTCAACTCTGTAACCCTGAACCCTAAACCCTTTCTCTGACCACGCGACACCACAGCCGCGCAAAGTACCTAGGAGACCACAGCACCACCAGCCTCGGGTCAAATTCGAGTGTTGTAGGATTTTCGGGTTTCGGGTTTAGGGTTTAGGGTTTTCGGGTTTTCGGGTTCAGGGGTTTAGGGGTTTAGGGTCTAGGGTTTTCGTGTTTAGGGTTTTCGGGGTTCATGGGATACTTGTGGACTTTATTAGGTGGTGTTCTGTTCTCAAGCCGTTGATACAGTCGTACTGGGGTTTTGCAGGGTCTCGGGGCTTGCATAGAGAACCTTAAAACCCGAAAATGGGCTAAGAGAGGGGCCTTTGCTGAAGTCTCCAATTGTCTGGCTCGAACTTTTTGCCTTAAAGGTTTGGGGTTTGGGGTTTAGGGTTCTCCCTTAAGGGGGTCATGGCAACTAGGGTTCGTATTAGGTTACGAAAAGTTGTGAGTACGCGTAGCCACACTTGCTCAATCCCATGACCCCTCGCGGCTACAGGGACTATAGGGATCTTGGAGAAGGAGGTTCCCTAAGCGTCCAACTACCTAATAATCATATACAATCCCAAATAGTAACCTACATAACTACTATCCGAAACCTAAGTACCTGGGTACTTGGGTCCTTTGGACCCTTGAGGTTAGGGATTCAGGATCAAAGGGGCCTAGGGTTTCGGGATATAGGATTTTAACTTTAGGGTTGCTGGTGATTTCTAATTCAATACTGCTGAGGTTTAGGGTTAAGGGTTTAGGGTTTAGGGTTTAGGGTTTAGGGTTTAGGGTGATGATAAATCCTGCATTACCTTTAGAAACCTTAGGGTTTAGGGCTTAGGGTTTGCATTACCTCAAGGGCCCTGACCTATGGGAGATATGGTATACTCCTTAGTATGGGCAATGCAGGATTTCTATCGTCAGCCATAGGGTCGGGATTGGGAAGGTGGGGCTGGTCGACGGATTCGGATCTAGAGTGACTTCGAGGTGAAAACGGTTACAATGGAGGTGTTCGGGTCGATCTATCCCAGTATCATTGCACAGGAATTACAAAGGGACATTATTTCCGAAACTCTGACGAAAATCCCTAAACCCCTAAACCCTGTACACTCCCTATATTAAAGTCCCTAAACCCTAAACCCTAAACCCTAAACCCTAAACCGGACTGTAGAAACAAACAAAGCGAGAGGGAGCCGGTTCATCCCGAAGACCCCAACCCCTCAACCCCTAAATCCCTGAAAGCCCTAGGTTTAGGGTTTAGGGTTTAGGGTTTAGGGACCCTGAACCTCTAAATCTTTGAAGGAACCCTTGAGGGAACTCCTTTGCCCTATCGAAACCCTTTAAAACAGTCTGCAGCCCTAGAAAATCTTGAAAAACATCTCTATCAAAACCATCAAGAAGACCCCTTGAAGGAACTCTAACGTGCGGATCCCTATAGAAACCCCTTAAAACATGAACCGATCCTTAAAACGGACCCACGCTATAAAACCTATAAGCCCGTATAGAAACCCTTGAAATGGACCCTGTCCCTAAAGAAACCCTTAACGAAAGACCCTCACAGAACCTATAAACCCATACAGACACCCTGAAATCAGGACCCCAAACCGATAGATCCCTAAGGAAACCCTTAAAAAAAGACCCTAGACCTCGAAATCCCCAAAGACAACCTTAAAAAAGGACCCCAAACCTATAAGATCCAATAAGTCCCCCAAGAAACCCTTAAACAAAAACACAAACCCTACGCTACCCGCTACTCTTCGCTTCGAACAGGGCGGCGTCTCTGCTCTGTCCAGAAATCCGGCGAGCCCAAAGATGCAACGAGCCTCTCTTCAGGGCTGTTGTTAAAGGGGCCCTTTAAGGGTTTAGGGTTTAGGGTTTAGGGTTTAGCCTCTCTTCAGAGCTGTTTCAAAGGGGCCCTCTAGGGGTTCCTTTAAGGTACTTCTATAAGGTGTATAGGCTTTAGGATTTAGGGTTTAGCCTCTCTTAAGGGCTGGTTTAAAGGGGACCTTTAAGGGTTCCTTTAAGGGACTTCTATAAGGTGTATAGGCTTTAGGATTTAGGGTTTAGGGTTTTGGGTTTAGCCTCTCTTATGGGCTTCTTGACAGGTCTAGGGGTTTAGGGTTTTTTTTAAAGTGTAGTGGCTCCTTTTCTCCGCAAGAAGCCCACCTGTAGCAGGTTTAGGGTTTAGGAGTTAGGGTTTAGGGTGTAGCCTCTCTTACAGGCTGCCTTAAAGGTGCCCTTTAAGGGTTCCTTTGAGGGAATCTTGAAGGGTTCTATAAGGTTTAGGCTTCAGAGTCTACTTAAAGGATCATGGGACTTAGTAAGTAGGGTTATAACCAAGGTAAGTATACTTATAACCCCAATTAAGGGACATATAACCTTACTTACTAAGTCCCATGATCCTCCAAGTAGGGTTTGGGGTTCAGGGTGCCTCTTTCCGGACTCTTTTCAAGGGGCCTTTTCGGTCCTTTAAAGGGTCTCTTTTAAGGGCGGTTTCGGGTTTAGGGTTTAGGGAGCCCCCTGAAAAGCTTTTTTAATGGGTCTAGGGTTTAGGGGTTTAGG